CAATGGCTGATTCTTTGGCCAAGCAAGGGGTGTCAAGGGGAGATCTGTTTTGGGCCACTTTGTAATTGTGTTTCAGGCTTGTGTTTGTTTAGTGTTTATGACTCAGTCCTAGGGGGAGGTAACACCTCGTGCCTCTTCCTAGGCTGAATGTACTACTATTTTTTGAATTAATAAAACTACCCTCATTTATCAAAAAAAAATATCCAAATCCAATCCAAGTCCAGTCAAAATTTGATAGATAGGATGTGATTCAAATCTCAATATAGTGAACTAATTTAAGATTTAGGTATATCTAATTTAATCCAATCCATTTGCATCCCTACACCTTAAACCTGCCATATTCATATAGCATTTTGGTATTTAAAAATTTGTCTTGTCCATTTTACATTAATTTTGAATTTTACAAAAAAAAAAATTATTTCACACCCCAAATGTTTCCCTCAAGCTTGAAATTTTTAAGCCATTCAAAAATTTCCAGAAAGCTTCTCAATTTTTAAGGATCAATGTTTCATTCAAAATAGAAAATGTGAAATTTGGAAGGAAGGACAGGAAAGGATAAGAAACCACTTCATAAATATACAGATATATGTTCAAATGAGCATAGAAGTTTTTCTTTTTTTTCTTGACAACTGCCTCCAAAAATTACCTTCATCTGGCAAAACTTCAGTGTAAGAGACGTAAGCTTTTCCATCCTTTAAACTCAGCACCTTGGCTGAAAACCACACTCTCCTAAAACCCTCCTTGTCAGCAAGAACCTAAAAGAAGTAGTTCAAGCACATAAGAATGTATGGACCTAAAGAAGAGTACACAATATACACAGATTCCCTCAGAAACAATCAAAACTTCACAAAAGTAAAAATAACCACCGAAGTAAAAACAAACTGAAAAGCATACAAAGTAGAAATAACATGACAAAAATGTAAGATGTCATCGCTCTCCACAATAGCACATATGTGACAAAATAATTATCATGTTCAGTTCACAGACCTCTACAACTGAACCTTCTTTAATGCTATTCTCTTTTGAAGATCCTGCTAACTGAGTTCCTTCATGTTCCTCATTCTGGGCAGGGACAGAATCAGTTCTTGATCCAATCTCAGATTCTGGGACAACCCCTATAGTCTTACCCAAGTTGGATGTTTTACGACCTTTTTGCTTCCCCAATCCCTTTTCACTGCTCTGCACCCCATTCACCAATCCCACGTTGTTCTCCACTGGAAGCCTGGCCAACTCTTTTGAAGATGACTTTTCCTGGCTTGTAGTAGCTTGTTGAGTTTCTTGTTTATTCAACGATTGCTCATTCAAACGAGCAGAAGAATTTTCAATACCTTCACCAATACCATTTACATTAGAATGTCCCCCCTCATTTAAATTGCTTGACTTGACAATATGCTCTGAAGAGACTTGTACTTTCCAATAACCATTTGGACCAGCCTCTACTAAATCACCCAGTGTTAGAGGTAAAGGTTCACCCATTGCTATAATAGTTCCTGCCTGTGATACAGCTTCAGCTGCCAGCTCTGCAGCTTTTACTACTGCATCCAGATTCTCTGCCCGTTTTGTGGCAGCAGAAGCAGCCTCAACTCTTCTCCTAGCAGCCTCCTTTGCGGCAACAATAACTGAACTTGAACTGTTGGTCTTATCCTTACCCATCAAAATTGATGCAGGTGTTACTGTTCCCATATTTTTCACACCATCAGAGAGAGAAGTGTCAATAGTTTGAGTAGGATGCCTAGTTCGACTTGAACGTAGAGCCTCATCAGCCATCAGTTTAGCTTGCAATGCAGCATCTGATGCAACCTTAGCAGCTGCTGCCGCCGCCCTTGCGACAGAAGCAGCAGCAGCTACTGCAACAGCTGCAGAAGCCAGTTTAGCTTCAACATCTGAAACCAAACCAGAAATTTTCTGGACAGCTAACTGGCTCCATATACTTTGGCTGTGACCAACTGCAGTGGCAGCAAGAGCAGCAGCATCTTCTGCATGTTGCTTAGCTTGTTCAACTTTACTGCATGTCTCTTCTGAAAAGATTACCCTCTGCTCCATGTCCTGACCCCCTATTATCTGGAAATGTGTTGCAGATATGGGTGAATTAGTTAACATAGAATTGGTAGAAGTTTTAGCTGCAGATGGTGTGATAGCAACAGAAGTAGGGAGATGATTAGTAACAACAACAGCAGAAACAGATTCTGTTTGAGGTTGAGCAACCAAAGACATGTGGCCAGACTCCTCAGAAGCCATACTCCTTTTTCTCTTCCTAGGCTTTGGATCAGCAGAAGCAGTCTTGCTAGGTGATACTATTGCTCTTTTCACCTCTGGCAAAGGTGGAGGCCCTGCAGGAACACTTGTGGAACCCCCAGAATGAACCAAAGAACTGGGAGGAGTATGCTGCATAGTGGAGGGATGTGTTACGGAAATTTCTCGAACAGTAGTTACATGCCCTGTTTCTGTAATGGGAAAGGCAGAGTAAAGAGCATTGGCATCAAGCACGGAAGCTGCAGGTGAAACAACCCAGGGCGTAGCAGCAGGAGCCTGAGATAGCCAAGGGCTGCTGTTTCCCACATAATGCCTTACATAAGGTGACTGATAATGATGCAATGGAGAAAGCGCCTGATTAGCATCTAAAAGTGAGCTCCCTGGCATGCTGCCGGGCTGCATTCCATCACGGGAAGGGGTTGAAATACTCCATAGGGGAGATGGGGGAATCACAGGATTTATGGTGGCTGAAGGGGCACCTTTGCCCCCAGCTCGACTAGTAGGAGTGCGAATAACCTTATTCTGAATAGAACTTTGCCTACTTGTTTCTTCTGGAAACCTAGAACCTGCAAAGTCAGTTCTTAAATGACATTAAAGACCCAAGATAACCACACTGAGACCTAAAACAGGTTTCAAGCAAGAGAATTGTACCTGGATGTGATTGCAGAGGGGTCTCAGAGTTACCATGCATGTGTTTCTGGTTGTGAAGCCTTTGAAGAGAGGCACGCCACACATTATCCCACAAGCTTCTTCCACCGTCTTTGGTGTTCAATACCATTACAATTGGTCAGATACACATTCGGTAGAGAAATAAATGAAACTCAAACAGAAAATTACGAAATGTAGTGGGTAAGTCTTAACCAGATTCTCCAAAGGCTGCGACCATACATGCCTCATCAGGAGCCGTTCCTTGTCTGCAAAAAATAAAATAGAACAATACCCTTAAAAAGGAATTATCAAATAGAAAGAAACATCTTATAGAGAAATCTAAATCTAAAGTCACATAGCTAGTGTAGTCCATGAATATCAGATGGACATATGAAATAAACATATGCAGGAGGAAGAAACCAAGATTTTGGATAGATATCAAATCAATTAGTTTTTTAATCAAAAAATAAGTCCAGATTTAATGCTTAAGAGCATCCAATAGTCTCTATTCAACATTAGATCTCCATGAGTGGACTTACAATGCCCCCTATATGTGCCAACAGATATACAACCAAGAAAATTCCAAAACCAAAAAATTCAATTAGAACTCCCTCAGGATGTGTGTGTGTGTGTCAAAGTTCATTCAAACATGCTATCATAAGAGACTCACATCAAAGATCCATAAACAAATATCTGAGCCCGCAATTGCACTTGTTGTAAATCCGTAAAAGGTTGTTGAAATGAGGATGAGGAAGCTGAAGTATTCAAATCTGGCAGAGTAGATGGCTGAGCAGTTAGAACACCACAAGGTTTTGTAACACTTCCTTCAATATATCCACTGGACCTCATTTCTTCACCTTGCACAACTTGGCCTACTGTCCCACATGAGGTAGGAGATACACTACATGAACTGCCCCCTCTGTCTTTTGCCTGCCTCAAAGGATCTTTTAGAGATTTCCCTTCCTTGGAAGCTTCTTTGTCGGTTCCCTTACCAGACGCTCTCCTCCTTTTATGGTCAGATGTACCCTTAGAACTGGCACGTGGAGTCTCCCCATCAGATGCTCGATGACTTCCACGATTAGTGCCTTGCAACTTGGGATCAATTGGGCCTAAGCTAGACGTTGAAGGAGAACCCTCTACAGTCTTTGGCAAGAGTCAGAAGAAAGGATTGGTTAAATTGTTTTTTTTTTTTTTTKKGGGGGGGGGGGGGGGGACAAAATGAAAGTATGAATTACCTGATGAAATTCATAGTGCTGAACACTGGGAAATGGTCTCCATCCACGATCAGTCTCCCTGTCAGACAAATCAACCTCCTGTGCACTCACTTCAAAAGTGAAGCTCCTATCGTCTTCAGTGGCACTGTTTCCCTTAATATCATCAGTACAAGGTTCAACTTTGTTCCCCTGCCCATCCATATGATCAGAAACAGGGGAATTCTGGTCTAAGGACCCATTGCCTCCTTTCCCTTTTTCCTTCTCATTTTGAGGAACCTCAGTAGAACTAATGACAGTGGGTGAACCACAGTTACGTTCCTCTGAATCTGGAATAGTGCTTCCAGCATCTGGACCATGGTAAAGAGAATCGGTAGCAGAGCTTACGGAGCACCCACAGCCAACATCTGCAAGGACGAATCAAAATATTAGAAAATAGATGACACTGGATGCTACCAATCAACAAATAATTAGCACAAAAAGTCAAACATCTTAAAATAATTGACTAAGGCAAAAGCATGCATGTGGTTACCAGAACCATCCAATCACATCAGTGACACTGCTCAAATATGATAGAACAGGACCACATACCAACCACACTTCTGGAAATTAGAATCAGCAGATTGTATCATATACCCACCGATGACAGGATTGTGAAGCACAATAGCAAGCAAGTTCTCTTGTGTTGCCATCAAAACAAAGAAAGCTTTAACCCAAAAGAGTAATATAAAGAAGGTGCATGACTTTCTTACAAAGGACTTGCCCACCACGCACAATCCCCTCATTTCAAACTTTTGACCCCCCCCCCCCGAATATATAATTTATATGGTAAATAAGCCAAATAATATAAATCCCCACCCCAACAACTTAGCAACTAACTTATCTCATTATGACCAGCATTGCCTTACTTTCAACCTCAGCCTAATGTTTTTTTCCCAAATAGCCTCAGACTAAAGTCTTAAAACCCTGCCAAGAGGCCGAACTGCTTTTACCTCAGGTGGATGGGCCTCCAGTTCAATTGTCTGGGTGAATGGGTCGGCGTGTGAAATCATAGCAATAAAAAAATCAAAATAATAAAATAATAAAAAACTGGAAACCTGGTCAACAGGTTGAACAGGTCAATGTTTCAACCATCTAGGTTGATGAGTCATTGACCAAGTCAACAGTTTATAAGATTGAGGATTCAAGGTTGACCAGAACCAGAATCATGACCAGGTCACTGGTCTTGACCAACCAGGTCAACAACAGGTTAAAAACATCGATTATCACTAATTACCAAATAATAATAATAATAATCACCTAGTAACAAATACCTTACCAATTTACAACATCCTCCATAAAAACCAACACCTAACAATGCTAAATTATCCCAGAAATCAAAACTCACCCTTAACCCTTTGCCAATACAAAATAAATCCCCAATCTACAATCATTTTCTCTGTGTGACTAAAATCTCCATCAAAATGCCTTCAAAAGCACACCTCCTAATAACCTATATAAATCCCACTCATTCTTCCTTCAATACTTCCTTATCTACCAAGTACCAATTGGGTTGTATGTTGGACTCTGTAAATCCAATTTAAGGCTTTTCGCTTTTCTCCTTATATTCTAATTCCATATACACATTTCTGGCATGTTCCTCACCAACCAAGAAAAGTGGCCCTAATTTCTTCCCCATCTCTATTTCCTTATCAACCACTCTATCAAGATCGAATTTCCTGTCTAGTTTAAACACTTGTTCCAATTCAACTATATCATCTGCAACCTTCGCCCCCAACACCTCCATCACCTTATCCTATATCTCTTCCATGCATTTTGTACCCAATGCACCTGTGCACTCATCAGTCAGCCATGTTCCATATTTTGACCCAGAGTGCAACCCCCTATTAACAGCCTCCAAGAACTATCCTCCAAATCTTTTGTAACAGGATTCTCAAAAAAAGAAGAGAAACAAAAGAAAAGAAAAAAGCTTCTGTAACAGGAGCCAAAGATTGCATGGTAATGTCTTGTTTATTACCATAATTTTCCCCATCCTTTAACATACTTCCTAAAACTAAATTATCCTTGTCAACCTTGATAGTTAAAGTTCTACAAGGGAAATAATCTCCTCTTTGTATAGTTCATCCAGTCAATTGCTCTCTTCAACACCCTTCATTTGTACACCCTCCTAAATTTCTTACAAGGACCAGCCCCACTGAGAACACCTCTCAAACAGGAGGGTAAAAAACTTTTGTATATATATGTACCAAACTGTAATTCTTCTCACAACTCTGGATTTCTTATCCATCCCTATTGTTTCCTCTCTAGTTGAAAGTTGAAACCTTTTGTCCACAACTGTCAAGCTTTATGCCATCCCACTGGGCTATTACATCTTATTATGGGTAACTTGTTGAGAGAATCTAGGTTGCAAATTACCACTAAACTTCCATTTAACTTGTTGACAATATTTTTGTTTTTTTTATGAATTTCTTTATGCAGTAATTCTCAATATACACCTGAGACATCTTTTAGGTAGAGGTAATAAGAGTCCATTTATCCTTATTACTTAAAATGGAGCCGTTAGTAAATTAAACTTTACTACTAAACAAGGGTATCGATGTAACCTTACTGTAATGTAACAAGTTAATATAAATAGAAGCATGACTGATTGAGAGACTAATTTGTCTCACCAACTGGCAGCTCCTTTCCCTTCCCCATTTGCTGTTGTTCTCTTATCTACTCTTTCTCTCTATCTAGAGCACACTAAAGATGGTTCATGGACACAACTAAAACTTAAAACTACATATATACTTTTTTTATTCATGGACACAACTAAAACTTAAAACTTACATAACTATAATTATTAAAAATACATAAGCACCTACTTACATGCATATGTACATTTTAATTAATTTAACAACTCCAGTCATGCTTCCAAATTTTGAAGTTTTCCGATTTTCATGCTCCAGCAATTCAATCCCAATCTTTGCTCCCAATCCACCCTACAATATGAAGATGTAAGCATTAACTGCTGAAACATTCTATGCATATATGAACAAGTCACTTCAAAGCACCTCCAGAGAATCTTCTATTTCACTTCTTCCCCATTCCCTAAAATACCATTAACAGTGTGATCATCCACAAGTTTTCCTCTTTCAAACCAAAAGGGATGAAATACCACTCTTGGAAGTGGATGCTCTCAAAAACAAGTCCACATTTTCATGTGCTGAGATTTTACCATTAGAACAAGCAAAGACCCTTAAACCAATAATGCCATTTAAACATCATCCGTGCCCTATACGATATAATGTCCATTTCTATGTATTATTATGTATTAGGTTTTACTTTGAATATTCTGACCTACTAACATTCAATGGATGAACAAGCCATGTGTGTCTAAATCTATGAATTTGTATATCAAATCAAGTTATAAGAAAAAAAATCCCATTACAGGTAATGAACCTCAAAAAGTGTTTGAAAGCCATGTGTAGGTTCACAGGCAAGGCTCATTTAGTGGGGTGCCCCAAACCTAGCTTGTTGTTATCGTTTGATTAATTAACCTTTGTCTTTATGTTGAACGGCTGAGGCTCTAAACTTGATGAATTTGATGTTGAATACCAGCCTCTGGGATGTTTGGCATGCATTTGTTTTATAACCATTAAGTTGTATGGATTTGCCATTAGTTATTAGGGGTGCAAATCAGGCAGGCTGGAAGGGTTTAATGTCAACCCGTGCCATTAGACTTAAGGCGTGAGCCCAAAACAAGCCCAAGGTCAAGCCCGATTTGTCCAAACCCAAGCCCAGCCTGAACTGAAATTTGGCACTCGGTTGCCCAGGCTAGGATCGGGTTTAGGCAGGCCTATTAGGCCCAACCCAATGTATTAAAAGTTGCATGAACCTATTTAGTTTCATTAATTTAAACCTTCAAATAGGAAATTTATATATTTTGCATGCATGCATGCATGCATGCATGAGTGTATGTATTAGGGGTGATCATTTTCAGCCTAGCCCGGTTTAGCCCAGAAATTTCCTGGCCTGTGCTTAGCATTTTGTGCTCGGGCCCAGCTCAGCCCAGGCCCCCACCAGGCCCAGAAATTTTACAACTGAGCTTGGGCCCAACACTTAAAGCCCAGACAACAATATTATTTATTTTCAAGAATAGGAAGAAAAGGATGGAAGAGGTGGTGGCACAGATCAGCTCTCCAGTGAATGGTTGGGTGTTGATACTGCCAGAATTTTAAGACTTAAAGAAAGAAGACTTTGGGGCAGATTTTTGGTGTTCTTTGAATTCTTTAAAAGTCTTGGTGTTTTTGCCATGTTTGCTTTGAAGTCTGTTTTGTTGTGTTTTCTCTTTGTACTGTTGCAGTGTGATGGGGGTGCCCTCTTGTCACCATATTTAAGCTGTATTTATCTTTTTACTTTTTAGCAATAAAGTTTTTTCTTTATCATCAAAAAAAAAAAATTATATCAAATATAAACTTGCACATGTGCTTTAGATCATGTTATATAAATATTATAAAACAAGACATAGCATAATATATATGGAAAAATCTGTGCTGCCTAGGAGTGCATCTTGGGGGGGCCTTGAATTGGGGTTTTGTCAAAATTTGAAAGGGACCGAGACCAAAGCAGTGTAAAATGCTAACTTGGGCCAACCCGAGTTGCATTCCTAATGTTGCTAGAAAGACACGATACCAGAAGAGCTTTAACTGATCACCCTCAATGAGTTTTGATAAATACCACCAGATTGGTTACAAGTTTTTCCAGTATCATACACGAACCCTAGTATGTATGCATATATGTATTACATATGTAAGCATGCATGTGTATGCGTGTCTATATATAATATTTCATATTATATAAACTGTATCATATATTTATACATATATTATTTGTCATATAATGTAAAAATATTATATTATAATATATACATATATATATTATAAAACTTTAATTTGTGACTTAGGCACAAAGCCCATTCCAGACTGGCCTGGCCCATGATCACCCCTAGATTGTATACATATATGTATGACTACGTAAATATGTATGCATGTACACATATATGTATTTAAATATGTCTGAAAGTGTGTAGTCAGGCTTGGGCTACCTAAGGGCCAGGCCCAAGCCCAACCCAAAAAAATAGGAAAGCCAGAGGTTTTGGGCCTAGGCATAGCTCAAAGACCGAAAATCCAAGCCCAGCCTATGGAAATTGCGAGCTGCATCAGTCCTAGAGGTGATCATGGACCGCATCGGGCCGGGTTTACCACCAATACTAAGGGCTTTAAGCTAGGCCTGACCTCAACCTAACCCACACCCTAGGCTAGATTGTAAGCCCAGGTCCAGCCCTACATGGGCCTGGGATGGGTTTATAGGCTTTCCAGGCCTACTGAGTAATGATTTTGGGTCCATCATCCATGACATCAAATAATAAAAAATTAATTTTTTAAATTTTTAAATTAAATAACATGTAATACATACAAAAAAAATTGCACAAGCCAAAGTTAAATTGGGCTTGGCTATGGCACAAAAAATTAAGGCATGGGCCTCATTCAATTGCTAGGCTTGATTTGGCTTGGCTTACCTATCCTTTTATAGATGAAGGCAAGAACTTCATTCCCATTGAGTGTCAATTTATAAATATTTCTTTATATGCTAAAATAAAACTTAAAACTTTTATATTTTATATAAAATGATAAACATTTAATATAAAATAAAATATAATTGTGTAAATATAACATATATAATACATATATATATATATGTATATTATATATTATATTATATTGCAGGCCACGCTTAAAGTGTTGAGTCCAAGCCCAGCCCAGAATTTTCTGGGTTTGATGAGGGCCCAGGCCTAGAAATTTGCGGCTGGGCCGAGCCGGGTTTCTGGCCCAGGCCAAGAATGATCACCCCTAGTCAGTCCAGGCTCGAGTTGGGCCTGTCTAAGTTGCACCCCCTATGAGCTATTATGCTTAAACAGTCATAAATTGCATTTGATAATCCATGTTTTATGCAATGGAAATGCAAGGGCCGTGCCTCAAATATCCAGCAGTGGGAGACATTTAAGGAATCACCTTCTTATGTTTTATGAGAGGGGGTTGCAGCAATTCCCCCACTGATGTGGCATAATTAAGAAAGAAAAAGAAGTTGCTCTTTCCAAGTTGTCACATCGTAGCTGCAGCAAATTTTTTAATAAGTACAACACTTTAGGGCATATTTGTTACTACCAAACAGGTTTTAGGCAGAAACACTGCATAAACATTTCAGTGTTGCATTGCTGATCATGGTGAAATGCAATGGATCTAAAATGCAGTGTTGCCCAACACCCGATATATTTAAGCCCCATTTACAGTGAAAGATAAAGTTGTCCAACCTTTCACATTAAAACAAAGGCAGCCTTAATAACAGTTGGCCAATATCGTAGGAAGGTTTATCTCGTGATAGCAATTCTGTGCATAAGAGGTTCTAACAATAACTAGGTATTCTTTCTACCAAGGCAAAAGGAAGAAAAGAAGGACATATGTGGCATCTCCTATATAGTTCAATCCCAAGAGTGAGGAACATGTAGCCTATAATACTTCCTAGCATATGAAGGTCAGAGATGATACAAATCCAATATCACACCAGATACCACATGGATACTTCCAGATATACTTCATAGCATTAACACTTTTAAATATGTAAAATGGTACATTTTAACAAATTTTATTTTGACAAGACATCAAGTCTTGACATAAATAACACTTGGCTTTAAAATTAGATATAAAAGCATGATATATACATATATTGTATGGCATACCTGTACACATATCCATGTACAGGATTTTAGGATACAGAGAACGGTATCCCTTTTTCCTGTATTCATGCCCATAGTATTCATATATGGGCTCATAGCATATAGCCTTTTTTTTGTTCACAGTCAGGACTGTATAATGATTTGCCTAAAAGATACAACTCATAGCAGCAACAGATCTCTAACAAAGTTTTTTTTTTTTTTTTTTTTTGGGGGGGGGGGGGGAGCTGAGGACACTCCCCCTTTGATTTCATTTAGAGCAAAGAAACAAATATTTAAATAAAGAATAGAAGACAAAATATCTTAGATCCTTTTAGAACCAGTAGATTACCTGTGCTATTTAGGGATGACTCTTTGCACTTCTCATTAGAAACTCCTATTACACCAGTACTATCATCTTCTTTTGGAACTGGATCATCAACAACAGGTTGTGTTTCCAATTCACAAGAGTAGGCTTGAGTAATTTTGTCAGGTAACACAGCCTCAGGTTCATTCTGGAATGTTGTACTAACAGTCCCAGCGGATGATGAAGACTGACCAGATGACCCAGGTAACTGCTCCCCAGTGCCATCACAAACTGCAAGATTTTCAACTTCAGAAATAGAAGCCGGCTCACTTGGCACAAGGGAGCACTCCTTCATAACCAAATTTGATTCTGTAAACGTTTCAGTTACAGATTCTTCCTTTCCTTCCAACTGAGCAACATCCCCAACACATACAGATGGCATTATATCTTCTTTGTCTTGAATAACTTCATTTGTGGCAATACCATTTCCTGGAAGAAATTAGTAAGCACTATCAGATTTGTTAGAGGGTTCCCAACTGGCAACTTCAGATACAGTTCCAGTTGAGGCTGCGATAAAAACAGGTACAAAGGACAATAACAAAAACTTTGTACGTTTTGATCATGACAGTAATGGAATTGAACATAGATTGAAGCTAATTCCACAAGTTTCAAAATTCCATCAAGTGAATTCAGTTTTGTAACCGCGAGTAAATTGAAAACTAATGGAATTTAAGAGGTATCTGATAACTATTCTGGACCAGACACCTGACTTATGACCTGATCATAAAACTCGGTTTTGAAATAGCCAATTAACATTGATTTGGTCAAAGATTTCAAAGAATAATCATATTAAGGATCGGTTTGTTTGCAGTGCAAATTCTGGTTCATTTTTGTTTCAGTCTTTACTTTGCCTTGTTTATTTGAGAGGAATATAATGACGCTTCCCCACTTTATACAGGAGAGAATGAAGGTAGAGGAAAATGATGCTAATTTTGCTGCATCAATTTTTGGGTTATGAAATTTGCACCACCAATGAGTGCAAATAGATTAAAATTTTAAACTCTACCCCAGGTAGAGATGCAGATGATCACTACAAATCAAAAGCTGCAAAGCTGAACTGGGTGCAAATCTTGCACCAAGTTTGGATTTGCACTGCAAACAAACAAAACCTAGGGTTGTCATACCATAAAACTTGGTTCATTAAAGCTAGTTTTGGCATGAGATAGGTTTAAAATATAAGCTACTAGTTATTGAATTTTGTTACATTTTCTTGTTACGAAGGTTAAGCAGTCGAGTCAGCTTGGGCAGTCAGAATGGTCAACCCACAACTCAATATCCAGTTGAGGCTTTTTATACATAAATTACATCCGGTCTAGTTTTCAAAACACTGAATTTAAGTTTAGATTCCACATTTTTGAAGATTGCAAAATTCCAGAGGGTGTAAATCATCTGAATTTCAGGCTATCAAGGTGGGAGTGGAATCAAATTCCAGATTCATTCCTGTAAATCCACACTTGAATTTTGTGGAAGCTAAAATTCCATGTTTACCAAATTATGTCCCCATTGCAGAAATGGACCCAAACAATGGAACCTAGGGACTTATGAAATTGCCCCCCTCAATTCTACCTCCAATTCCAATTATCCCTTATCGAAACACTGCCTAAGAAAAATCCATGGATCTTTTAACTTAGACCTCCCTAGAATAGTGGTTGAATTGTATACCTGATTCTTCACCAACAACCAAAGAAGACTTTGGTTCACACACCCCCACCTCTGCTTCAGCAGTACTTTGACCATGAGACAGAGATACTACATGCTTCTCCATAACAAGAGAACCATCATCAACACTTTCTGTACCACCTGAAACAGTAGACATACTAGCATTCTCCATTTTACAAGGCTCAATGTCCAAACTACTATTGCAGATTTGCGATGAGTCAGCCTGCAAGGAAACTGATACATGATCCTTTGAATTACAATCATCCCCCTGAACTCCCAAACTATTATAATCATCACCCCTTTCTTCAGTTGTTTGCTTTTCATGGATTATATTAGTTGAGGAACAGACTTCTGCCATCAGAAAAGAAGGGTTTTCCACATGATTATTACTGTTAATCTCAAGGAGTTTTTTGTCCTCCACCTTCAATAAAGATGTCTCAGAATTACAGCCTGAAATACCACATTCCAATTGGTAACCATCAGATTCCAATTGGTAACCATCAGATTCCAACAAATGGTCTTGTTTCTCAGAAGATGCAATCTGGGTCTGTCCCTCCATTGCCTGTGCTAGAGGGCCCATATTCAACACTGGCTTAGAAGGAATTCCAACATTGCTGTTGTTAACCTTAGCAGCATCCCCTTCCAAACTATCAATCTCTTTCTCCAATATTAAAGATGAGTCATGTGTATCATCTACAATTTTATCACCTACCTCACTACTTTTAGACAAAACCATAGCCTCCCAATTACTGGTCTGAACAGTCTGCTCAGTCTGCTCAGAACACAGATGCTCACTGCATACTGGAAGCTGAACTGTAAAATCTATATTTTTCACAGAACTGGAATTGTTCTCCACCTTGTTAATGGTGGATTCAACTGTATTTCCATCACAATTTTGATCATCTAACTTATCCTCTTTGCTTGAAACATCTCCTTCCCCCTCTTTTACAGACTCATCTTCTTGCAAAGCATCTGGATTGTCAAAAGAGGTACGCTGCTCAGAACCTTCCACTGGCTTTTGTTGGGTCACTGTAGCATTCAACTCCTCAATACTTGGAACAAGATTGTCAATTTGTATGGTCTCTGACACAGCAGAATCATCCTGTGGATTGTTTTCCTCAGATCCAACAACTAAAGAACCATCTTCCCTCTGATTTCTATCAGTACACTTTTCATCAATCATCAGATTACCCTCAGCCAACGGTGAGTCGGACTTTTCACCAGACATAATCGGACCCAAGTCTTTCAAACTTCCATAACCAGACATTTCACATTTGTGAGATTGAGGTGTAGCTTCAACCTGGGACTGCACTGCCACAACATCCTTACTTAACCCTGCAAAGCTCTCCGGACACTGCTTAGGTGGTAATGTAGGGCCCACATCTACAGCATCCCCACTATTAGATGGAATGGAACCATCTTCATTTAAAGCGGGTTCCATTTGATTTGTTATGTTATCAAGTCCGTCACAAGCATCTGACCCCTCAATAATAGTCTGTCCTGTGATCATTTCATCCTGCCCAACAGATTTCAATAGCATTTCAACAGATTCTGAAGAAGCGGCCTCAGACCAAACATTTTCGCGCCTAGAAATAGAGCAAGATTCAGCCCCACCGGAGCTAAACTCTATCCCACTATTTCCCCGGGAGAACTCTTCAATCCACTGGTTTTCTTCTTGACCTTGGATACCAAGTAAAACCTCAGTTTCAACTAAACTATCAAACCTTAAGTGGACTTGGAGGTTGTCATCCAGATCAAATTTGGGAAGAGCATATGAGCGTAAGCCTGGAGGAAATTTGGTGTTCTCTTCAGCACCTAACTGAAAATTCTGGTTTTGGAAATCATTGTCATCATAATCCATGGGTGCATCCCTACAAAAATGACATTGGAGAAAGAATAAAGCACACTGGATACTCAAATCAAGTCTCTTAGACAAAAACATGTATAAAAAAGCAAAACAGAATATGATAAGAACTCATGCCCAACATGGTTTTATTTCTACTAAGAGCTGCAAACAGATCGGATCGAATCAGATATAAGGTAGATTCAAAATCCAGATTTGATTCATTTATATTCAGATTCAAATCAAATACTATCTGTCAGATTAATATCAGATTTGAAGCAAATGCATATTGCAATCGAATATTGAATAGCATTAATAAATTAAACTAAGAAAGATAAATATATTACATTAATAACAAAATGAACTAAAAATGGCATTGATATTGTATATCATGAACAAAATATACTGAAAGTTAATTCTATGGGACTTAAAACAATGATTCTTTAGTAAAAGAACAGCATTCAAACCAACTTTACCAATGGGTAGAAAATGAAGTTTAAGTATACAATGGTGGAGCCAGGATTTTTTCTTGGGGGGAGGGGCAAAAGCTAATAAACATGGATTGGAGGGCAGGGTGTAGAAGTTAATAAACATGGATGGGGGCCAAAATATAAGTGGGATATAAATGGGGATTGTGGGGATTTTTAACACATGGGGAGGGGGGCAAGGCTCCCCTTCACCATCCCTGTAAATATATATAAGCATATATATTTAAATCGCATCAGATAGAACAGATAGGGCCATAGGGGTGTGGATCCACATACAGTCCAATTATAAACATGTCAAATTCAGATCACCCTTAACCAGAACAGGTTTGGGTTCACATACATGGATACCATTTTGCAGCCCTATTTCTCCTGACCAGCAACAAGATCAAACAAATCAACAAGGTCAAACACATTTGCTGATTCAAAGCTGAGCAAAGACACAACATCAAAATAAAAAGAAAGAAAAGCACCAATAATAAGAAGATAAAAACTGCAAGACAGAGAATTTCTGCATATCTCTTATTGTTAAGCTGTCCCACATGCTTGATGTTGTTATATAATTCTTGAAAGAATCAGACTTCAATCATCACTTCTCAAAAATCCATTTTAGCCCTGATGATAGACCTTAATAATGAAATAATGAACCCAATAATTTGTCTAACAAGTTTTGCTTATTGAAAATGGATACATTTAATTACCTTATAATTCAGTTTCCATTTAGATAATAGTGATCTTGTGAATTAGTGAAAAACTAAGATGGAGTTCACCAAGAAAAACTCAAGTCAAAAAGACAATCTAGTAAGGTTCAGCAGAGACCTTGTGCATTCCAAATTACCATACAGACCAGGACCTTGAGGTCAGAGAAAAAATCTGGCCAGGCCAGGCCAATCCCACTAACTGGACTCCACAAAGGAAGCAATTTGTCAGGATTATCTGGGTTTCATATCATGATTTAGTGTGTTTGCACAAAATACCACTAAAGCAGACTTATCATTTTATTAACATGGCAACTACTTATTTTGTATTTACTACAAACAAATTTACCATTTTTTTTGATGAATCAAATTTACCATTCTCAACTTATTATTCTCACCTATTAAGTTTTTCTTGTGGAAGGAATATGCAAACACATGCATGTACCATTCATACATAGACAAATATATATAACCAACGTAACAATGCTACATCACCCCCAAAATGATGTCCTTGGACTCGGAGTAAAAGTTGGTCCATCACTCCACCCAACAAATGGTGGATCTACTGTTGTTGTAACCAATACTAACCACTAAAATATTTGTTGTGTAAAATCCCAGGACACCCCTCACTAGATAACTGCCAATTGAAGACTTCTCCATGTAAGAAAAAAGAAGAGAGGAAACAAGCAAACTACAATGAATGACTAACATGTGTGTGTAAGAAGACTTTGACTCCAAAAATTAGGCTTGGAAAACTTCAAATATGCAACCCATTCAATGTCTACCAGTTTTAGTTTAACATTCTATATTTAGTAATGGGAAAATTCTCAATTAATACCCTGTACTTTGGGCCTAGTGCCACTTTGATCCCCGAACTTTAAAACATGACAATTCAGTACCCAAACTTTCAAAATGTGCCAATCCAATAGCTGCCATTAACCAGCCATTAAGTGGCATTTGAAAAGGCACAAATGCCCTTCAAGTGTCATCTAATTCTCTTTATCAACCATCCAAATGTTGACAAAGAATGAACAGTCCCAAATCCTTGCCTCTTCTATTCAAGAAAGTTGGGGTTACATCTCAGTGGGCACTCTGGTGACCCAACTTTTTGAATAGAAGAGGCAAAGATTTGGGAGTTGGGACTGTTCATTTTTTATCAACATTTGGATGGTTGATAAAGAAAATTAGATGACACTCAAAAGGGCATTTGTGTCTTTTCAAATGCCACTTAACGGCTGGTTAAAGTTAGGTACTAAATTGGCACGTTTTGAAAGTTCGGGTACTGAATTATCATATTTTAAAGTTCAGGGACCAAAGTAGCCAGTAATCAGTACCTAGAGCTAAGTAGCCAAATGATGGTAACTTTGGATATCAAGGTCTTGCACAATTTGTTATGCACAATAACCAACAATCAGTACAAAGGCAAGAACAAAGGGGAAAATATCAGCATATGTGTTTCTTTAGCAGCTTCAAATGAGCAAATTCTCTGCCAATATGAACGGGAAAGTATATGGCACTCGCTGAATATTTAAAGAGAACTCCAACTTAATAGTTTAATATAATAAGCAGTAAGCAAGGTACTGATGTACTATTATGGTGCACTATCAAATAACCCATCATCAACATAGTAGAATAAAATAAATTTATTAAAACAAAATAAAACGCATTTATCAACATGGAAATTACAGATTAAAAAAAAACAATGATTAATCTCACTAAAGTGCGAAGAAAAAGCAAAATATTGTTAAGTACCTGGGCTGTGTTTGGCACACTTTCAAATAATTAATTCTCGTGAATTTTTCGATTCCAATTATCACTTTAAAGTTTTGGTTTATGAATTTTTTTGGAACTGTTTCTTTTTTATGGGCTCAAACATTCATTCAATGGATCCAGTCTTTAAAGCTGAAAAAAGTTGACTTCAAAAGATAATCATTTTTTGGCTCAGAAATCAGAACTCATTCTTCAAGTAGCGATGCTTTGAAGCAGATTTGTAACCAAAATAGCCTAAATGTCATGAACATGGAAAAAAATGGTAACAAGCTCATAAAAGACTCGCCCTAATTCCATCTTGCACGGTAGAACATAAATAAACTTGAACAACAGAACTCAATTTTCGCATATAATCCCGCGGGAAGTCGAAATTTTAAAACGTTAAGTTCAAAATCACTGCCCAATAGCTGTAGTGTCCCACATATGAAGGACGCGTATAACCTTGATCTGCAAATACAAATACTAATAAAGGAAAAAAAAAAAACAACAGAAAAAAGACAACTTTTACGTTACACTCACCAGTCATCATTTAGAAAGGGAACACATAAACCCTAATCTTTCTTCTGTGCTCTTATTTATTTCTAATATCAACACCAAAGAATTATGGTGCACTGGAAAGGGAATGAGGAATACCAGAGAAAGCAGGTCTAAGAGGCTACCTCCCTCCATCCGGTGACGAAATCGTGGCCGTTGATCAACCAGACCCTAAATCCGACGGTCATCCACAGGCTCATTTCCCCAGGGCAATAGCTTCCTTAAATGGCAAAAAGGGAGTATCTGTCCGCAATGAAACCCTAATTCCGCGACCTATCGACATGAATTAAACTCTGCCGAAGAACAACAGTGACCAAAATTTGTAATTTCCGGCGAATCAAGCGACAGGCTTCCAGCGATCAAGTCAATAGAAGAAGTGAAAATGACGGAGTGAACAAGGAACGACTGATCTCTCTCGCCCTCCTCCCCCTCACTTTCTCTCTTACTACTCGCTTCGCTTTTTAGTGTTTCGCTCGCACACTTTTGTTACGCACGGCGCCAGTACCCAGTAGGGGAAATATGTGATTGGGATCGAAATTTTAAGATATTAATTAATAAATAAATATTAGAGAAGTTTCGAAAAGAAGAATGAGATCGAATCATCAAAGTTCGAACGCACCCGAGTTCCGAAATATTTAATAGAGGTATTTGGTAGGCGAGTCGCCGAGATAGATATGACTCTTGTGAAATTCCACGTGGCATTTACTGACGTCCCAAATCCGAGTACGCCGTATGCCAAACGAAACTCGACACACTTTCTGTCTTGGCATGGCAGCAAGCAGCAGCTTCTAATTGAACCAGATTGGACGGTTGAACCCGTACTAATATGAGTTGACCGGTTGGGTCAAGTCCAATCAAACATTGACCACAGACTTGATTCTCCTTGATAATTGCTTGGTCATACAATCCAATGGTTAACAGATGATTTTCATGGGAACCGGACTATGTTTTCTACGTTTCTTTTAGATCGTTTTTTTATGGCTGCGTTTGGAATTGGTACAAATACAAAACGCCATCGGTAGAAATAAAAAACGCTCAAATGTATCAAGGTAAAAAAACAAACCGGCCGAATGCATGTTTTCCACTCTTGTGCGTTTGGAAAAACGGTGTAAAATCATCAGCGTACAAGTATATCTGGCAAGCGTCCATGGAGACATCGTCTCTACACTGAACAAGTCTCATCTTGTCCTCCTTCTCTACTAACGGTCTATCCTCTCCATGCTCTTCCTGGGCCACCTCGGTGATATACAACTTGTTGCTGGCTCCCTTGCCATGGCCTTTGCCAACATCACCGGTTACTTTGTCCTTTCTAGTCTAGCACTGCGCATGGAACCTCTATGTGCGCATTTGGAGCTCAGCGTCCCAAGCTTCTGGCCCTTACCCTTCATCGCTCTGTAATTTTTCTACTCTTCTCCTCACTTCCCATATCTCTTCTCTGTCTCAGCATGTCCAAGTGTCTTCTTTGTTTACACCAGGATCCTGAAAATCACAAATCTCACTTAGAGCTATCTTCTATTCTCTCTTCCGGACCTCCTCACTAATTCCTTCCTGCATCTAGTCCGCATTTATCTCCGAGCGCAAGGATTAACCCATCCACTCACCTTAGTGTCATTGGCCGAGGCGATCTTCCTCATACCCACAGGCTTCCTCTTGGTGTATCACCTCCAACTAGGGGCGATCTTCCTTGTGTGGGCTACAGGGTTACACCTGCCAACATGGATAACATCGAGCCGAGAGTGCTTGACTGGATGGGAACCTCTTCTCCGACTCTGGCGGGGCCAAGCTGCATGTTCGTATGTCTGGAGTGGTGGTTTTCCTGAGCCGGTGATGAAGCTTCTACCTCTGTTCCCATGGAACTGTTTTTGCTAAGCCAGTGATGGTTGCCATGGAGCTAGTTTCCATGGAGAACGTAGGTGGGTTCAGAGCTACCACTGGTTGCAGCAGCGGTGACGGAAAGAGAAAAAGAAGGGAGGAAGAAAGAAGAAGAGAAGGAAAAGAGAGAGAGAGAGAGAGAGAGAGAAATGTAATAAATACATAAAAAATTTCGATGTATTTATTATATCGATTATCAATGTAATTGAACGGTAAAATGTAAATTTACACCGATGTAATTTTTTATTGTAAAATTACATGTTTACCAAATGCCTATAAAATCCAACCGATGTGTAAAGTTTACCCCAGTTCGATTTTACACCTCTACCAAATGCAGCCTAAGGGAAAAATACAAAAACCTCCCCTAAAGTTTCTAACAATCATAAAAACCTCCCCTTTAGTTTCAATTTAATAAATACCCCTTGAACTTTCAAAAAATTCGACAAATACCTCCCTTCCATCACTAATCCAGATGAAAAACGTTAAACTGAAGCATTAGTTTTCTTAAATACCCATTTTACCCTTTTGTAAATTATTTTACATACATTTTTACTGAAATACCCATGTTTGAAACTCAACAAAAACCTCCTTCAATCTCTTTTGACCTCTTTCATCTCTCTTCGTGGTCGGAGGCCCTAGACCATGGCAAGAGGCTAGTGCGCTCTCTATCTCTATTCTTCTATTGCTGTTTTTTGTTGATTTCACTGTTTCTCTAGATCCTCCTCAGATTTCACTAGCTCCTGTGCCTGACACCCAAAACCCGATTCCCTCTCCCCCCACCTCTTTCCCCCCACCAACAAGGCTCCATCATTTGCACCTTCTATCTTGGATGTCAGTTCTCTTGAGCACAAACACCCACATTGAGGATAGTAATTAGTATGGAGTACTAATAGTATATAACTATGAACTGTTCTTCACTTTGGGCAAATCAACTATAGCCTCTAGGACTGAAGAAACAGAGGACCAATTTAGATAATTTGGCATCGTGATTACATAAATCATTCTAAACAAAAGAACTCAATTAATTACCACTTATCTTAAATACTAAGAGCATGTTCATCTTTGCCCAAAGATTCAATGCCTTGCTAAAATAGTTGTGCTCACTAAGGCCAGAGCAAACACACCATATGTTTTCCATGTATTTTTCCACAGGTGGTGACTCTCATTGCTTGGGTATAGGCCAGTAGGTATACAAGCCCTTTTAAGTCTGAGAGCTGCATTGGATCAACAAGAGAATATAATAATGGTGAGAACTTTAAATGTGATCCCCCTAAGCAACCTATCTGAACCTGAATTTGACTCTACTATTGCACCATTGATACTGTGTATATTTAATTGTCCGATTATATGCTATCATAATCCATTTTCTGCCCTAACCCTAATGAGAAATTGTTATTAGTTATTTTCATGATTTTAGATTTTCAATATGTGATATATCACAATTCATAATAGTTAATAATCATTTTAAATTTTCATTTTTCCTTCACTTTTGTATTAAAAAATCGATTATAAAAAAGGCCACCATAAAATCATAAAAAATGAGTTTAGGTATCTTAATAAAAATTAAGAGCATATGAAAGCTCTGAGATTTTATGGGGATTGGAGAAAGGTTGGGAAGGGTTAAACCAAATGGTTGGATTAGGGTTGAAGGACTAAGGTGTATTAGGGTCAGGGCTAGGTGTTTAGAACCTTAGGTTGTTAGGGTTCACCTTAATCCGACCAAACCCGACTCAACTTACACCTAACTAGAAACAATGAAACTAGAGTGAATCACATTTTTTTCATTTTTTGTGGCACTTTAATAAATATTCATCCCAATGAAGTTTTTCCTTGGCAAGAAGCCAAGAAATAGATTTTAAAAACTATAACAATTCTCAAGTGGCTTCCCTTTATGGTATTAGACAAAAGAACTTCCTTTTGTCTAATAATCTATGGTATTATCACCCAGGAAGTAACACTTTAAGAAGTAATAATCTATGGGATTAGATAAAGCAACTTCCGTTTTTGTGAATGGGACCCTAAGCTACTTTGATCCCTTATTTGCTCCCTTCCCCCCTTTCAAAAAAAAAACTCTATGTGTGGATTATATTTATGTGAAAATTCTATCTCATCAAGAAGAAGAAAAAAAGAAAGAAAAAAAAACATAAGGTAACATTTATGCTGTTGGAAAAACATAATATCACAAGGGCTTTGACCGTTCACCCCTTCCCCTATCTCTTGATTAGATTCAACTTTTATGCATGATGTACATATGTTGGTTATGAATTTCCTAGTATCATGTTTTTTCGGTATTATAGTTGAACCGACGATTAGTATTTGATAAATAAACTAGTACACCATAATGCACTTCATTTTTTTCAATTTAGAAGGAGATTCTTAGTACCCATTTGGTTAATGGGAATAGGGGTCTTGAATCTGAATCGAAATGGGCTATTCCCATTCCAACTATTTGGTTGAGTGGAATCAGAATCCCATTCCCCCATTTGAGGGAATGGCCATTCCCTGCCCCTCCTTGGAAATGAAATCCCATTCCTACTTATTCCAATTTCCATTATCATTTCTACCTGAACCAAACAGACAATGGGAATAGACCATTCCTATTCAATTTCAACTGTAAACCAAATAGACCCTTAATTTTAATTTGCATTTGCTTTCAATATATGTTTCCATCTGAACAACTATTGAAAGTATTTATGGGTTTGGGCTTGCAATAATAATATAGACTTCGAGCTTCATCATGAATTCATAAACTACTGCACTAGCCATAATGAATAAATGATAATAGTCAGATAATTGGCATTTATCATCTAACCCATGTTTTTTTTACAGATTTATGTGGGATCCATAGAATATTTATTTTCCTCGGTAAGTGATACCCATCTTACCCGCCTAAGGGGAAAGTTGTCAACACTTGGATGTAGGGGTGTAAACAGATCAAATTCGAATCAAATCAAGCAATATTCGAATTCAAATATGATTAGAAAATCTGATACCTGATTTCGATCCGATATCCGATGGATATTGAAAACTAATATTCAAATTTGAATTCGATTTGATTCGAATATACCAATTAACTATTTTAGGTAATTAATAAATATATAAAATGCATATTTTATTTAGAGAAAGTATATAAATATATAATTTATTTATTTAATTTAATTATTATATATATATAAATTATATAAAACATTTAAAAATTTTATATATTATATATAAGAATTAAATAATTAGTCGAATTTGGATATTTATCAAATTGAATACGGTCATATTCGAATCCGAATATGATTAGCTATTTGGTAGGAATAGGATATTCGAATTCGATCGATTAGATACTTGAATTATCCAAATTCAATTTGATTATGTTGAATCTCGAATTCAAAATCGGATTTTCGAATACCGTTGACACCCTTACTTGTATGGGACAAAATTATCCATTTTAATAATGACTTTTTGTGGTTAAAATGGTCATTACCCACTAATGGGCCCTAAAATATTTTTAATGATTCATTAGCCACTCATCGCCAAGTAATGATAATTCGTATGTGATCAAAGGAGCAACCAAACAATAAGCGGAACACTGTTTTCTTACTCTATTGCAACAAGGGTGCATTGGACCAATGTTAATCTCTCTACCTCACCCTTATAATAAGACAGTTTCAGGTAATCTCTATCTCAGGCAACCAACAATTGCATTACTGTATGAAAAAGCAGC